GGGTACCACTGAGAAGGACTAAAGGAGGGATCCGTGACCTGCTGCTTTACCAGGCAGTAATCTGGAATATTCTGACTCTTTGCCATTATTTTATTGATGGTGACAACAATCCAAGACCACACTGGGATTTAAGAGTAAATGAGACAACTGTTATTTAAAAAAAGCCTCAAAATGCTTTATTCTGAGGGTGGAAGAAGGATAAACAACACAACTAAAGGTCTAAAACTCTAATGGACTTAACAGCAGAGAGCAATAAAACCGTAAAAGCAAGTTAAACCAAACAAACCACAAAGCCATGGTTCCGAACCATAACCAGGTATTTCGTTTTTTAAATATAATTGCTTGGTTTGGGAGAAGAACTTTTGTCCTCGGCTTTAGCCTCACGTGAGCAGCTTCAACCACAAAACCAAGTTTCCAAATGCTGACTTTTCCACCTGTTAAATATAACGAACAGGCGTTTTGTGGCAATTTCACAAAGTGCCTTGGGACTATTCTGCTCTGTGCAGTTATTTCTCCGTCTACTAGTTCTAGGAAATAGACAATAATTCAGCTGAACACGAACAGAAAGTTTTTCTTGGGGAACCAAACTATTTATTTTTTACTTGTACACTTATCTGATACGTTTATTAAATGCTAAAAGGAAATTTGAGTGAACAACCAACCAAAATGCCAAGTCAGCCAGTTTGTTATACATCGATCTTATTGTTGTATTTCCATTGTAAATAATAGCAGAATTTTTTATTTTATATACTTTTAAAATATAAGATAGACTAGTAGGCTGCACAGTGGTGCAGTGGTTAGAGCTGTTGCCTTGCAGCAAGAAGGTCCTGGGTTCGATTCCCGGCCTGGGATCTTTCTGCATGGAGTTAGCATGTTCTCCCTGTGCATGCGTGGGTTCTCTCCGGGTACTCCGGCTTCCTCCCACAGTCCAAAAACATGACTGTTAGGTTTATTGTTCTGTCTAAATTGTCCATAGGTGTGAGTGTGTGTGTGCATGGTTGTTTGTCCTGTGTCTCTGTGTTGCCCTGCGATGGACTGGTTCTCTGTCCAGGGTGTACCCCGCCTGATTGCCCGTTGACCGCTGGAGATAGGCACCAGCCCCCCACCCCACCCCCACCTACCCCCGCGACCCTACGTGGACAAAGCGGGTTCAGAAAATGGATGGATGGAAGATAGACTAGTTTAAATACATGCTTCTTCCTGTTTGAGGGTGAAACTTTCTCGTAGTTGCAGAAGTCGCTGTACCACTGAGTGATGTTAGGTTGGACCAAAAGGATCTGGACTTTGTCAGCAGCAGGGATGGTGTTCCTCTAGTTTGTCGTGGTGAAGAAGCACCGCAGCTAAAAGATCAAGTACTAAACTGGTGCATCTATGTTAGACTGGGACTTAAAGGGACTTTACGGAGTTTAGAATTTTTATGCTCGCTATTGCCCCCTCAGGCCAAAAGCGTAACGGCAGCTTCAATAGTAGGCTCGTGCATGAGGCGCGCATGCTGTACGTGCACACTCCTTACCGAAAATAACAGCTGAGACAGTCCCTTGTGTGTGTGTGTGTGTGTGTGTGTGTGTGTGTGTGTGTGTGTGTGTGTGTGTGTGTGTGTGGCCCAGAGGACAGAGGACAGGAGAACGCGCAACTAATTAATTAAATAATGTGGTTCTGTACCTTTCTCTTCAGCACAGCCGACAAAGGTTTATGATGGGTCAGTCCTCCTGCATGCTCAGATCATTCCCTTCCCTTGCTTGAAAAATTGTTCCAAAATGAAAGTTGAACCCACATCTTTTTTATCTGTGAATTCAATGCCGTTCGGTGAGTCTCAAATAAAAATTTGGGCATCTTACTGTAAAAAAAATATACCATTACTGTAAAAAAGAAACTCTAAATGAACTATGTTCACATCCAGAATCACACCCCGGTCTTCTGCACTAAAGCCCGACTCTTACCAGACGAGCTAAACCACCAGTGGTGTCCTCTGCATCTGTAACATTTATATGCTTGATGACAGCTGAAACAACGTTCAAAGAACGGTTCGGAGGGCGATGCCTGAGCGTGAACGCGCATGAAGCAGCCTGCTCGACCCGAGCATCTCTCTTTTTCTGTGATTTTACAGAAAAACAGGCAATCACAGTAAAAATGCCAGGGCTCATTCTACAGGACCAGGGCATTGCAGGAGAATGTATGAAGAAGACATTTATTATTTCTATACATGTTTTGGCTGTCAGACTTCCATTTTGCCCCTTTAAGGATCAAGCTCCAAGACTTGAGAAGCTAAAATGAGCTTCCTCTGTAAAGAAAATCAGACTCAGCTTCAGTGATAGAGGTGAAGTCCCACTATTTGTTACGCTGGTTTGTGAAATTTAGTTTCCACGTTTGACCCATCTCCTGGAGGAGCAATGAGCTGCAGACACGGCTGTGCTTGGGAACCATTTAACCCCCCAATCAAACCCCTTAATGCTGAGTAGTCTTTGGTATGACCCGACTGTAGATTTGAACTCCGATCTCTCAGTCCCAGGGTGGACACTCATACTGTTGGGTAATTTTTACTTTCTCCACAACCCTTGAACCTGAAATAAACACACATCACAAGAGGGAGTCATTTTTATGCTGCATTTCCAAATTGGTGGGGAGAAGACCAAGCACCAACCCTCTCCGGGCTGGCTGCCATGCGTCTCCCCCCCCCTTCCTTCAGAGTTTTCAGTGGTTTTTATTCAACCAAAGGATGGAGAGAGAAGGCGGGGCCTTCTCGGGTTACAGAGTTGCAACTAGTCTCTTAGATACCACATTCCAGAGAGCTGGCCTCAGGCGTCACAAATTTCACAGGAGCCCATCACCCCCCACACAGACAAAGAAAGATTCACAGACCAACCAAAATGAACATTTAATAAAATACCTAACACATACCACTAGGCCCCTGAGCTGGTGATACGGTGAGGAGCTCCTACATCCAGGGGAAGCTCAGAGAAGAGCTGCTGCTGGTCCTTCTCATCAAAAGGAGGCAGCCGAGGTTGCTACGGAAACTAATTAGGATGCCTTTGCATCATACTAATCAGAACACAAATGGGAGAGGCTCCATCCACTGGTCCCAGAGCTGTTAAATCCTCCAAGACAACCTTGGATAAGCCATGCATGCATCCTTTTGCTACCAGATTGTAAAAACAAAACAACCAAAAATAAACATTTGCATCACCCAGCTAGTGTGTTCTTGTCACTGTCACACAGAGAGCGGTATCAATAACCTATCAGCAGCAGCAGCGGTTGTGCTAGCACAGCAAACAGCAGGTAGACATCCGCACTTGAGCGTACCTTTGGGAAGGCGAGCGGGAAATCAGAGAACTAATCAGCGGTGGCTCGAATGCTGGAGGTGAACACAAGAGCAACGCTCCAGTGAGGCTGATGGGAGCTGACGCTGGGAATTGGAAGGCGATCAGACGACACCTCTAACTTAAAAGAAGCCGTTTCTGCAGCCAGGAAAACTTTGATTTAATGTAATGGAGTCTTTATCAAGTGGATAAGAGGAGAAAACAACATGAATTTTGTAAATCTGTGAAGTTAAGATGAGAAGATGCTGCGTGTTTGTGCTCATAAGGATACTTTGTCTACAGAAAGTGTTGCTGTATCTCCCGAAGCAGCTCGGCACAATGCTGGCTCTTGTTCTCTGATGTTTGCCGAGTTGTTTGGACTGCGTAACAACAGCGTAATTAACATCCCAGGGGTGTAAATAGCAAGTAAATTATTACTAATTCTATGCAGAGAGAGGTACAAGATTGCCTCCTTTTTCAGTGGCTTGTTAGCAAAGAAAACACACACACACACACACACACACACACACACACGCACACACACACACACACACACACACACACGCACACACACACAAGTAAACACCTCTTCTCCCCCGGTCGTACATGCAAATGCAACACAAAAGCCAACACATGCGCACACGAACAAACACACTCACCTACTTCTTAATCTCCCAGCGCCACAAACCCAACGAAGGGGTGAATTATGAAGAGTTAGGACTTGGCTCGGTATCAAAGGCAGGCTAGCTCGCTGCTCGTCTAGATGGTAATTAGTTTGGCCCGTTTGCATTTTTATTTATCTGGTGCAGAGTTAGAGCTGATCATCCACGCTGATATCTGGAAGGAAAAAAATAAACTTGCGCTTGGAAAGGGCTGGCCACTGCCACTGCTCCTTTTCTTAAATTATTCATCAAGCGCCGCGATGACTGGCACCCCGTGCATATATAAGTTGCTCCAGCCGAGCGTCTGCTCGGGTATATGTCGGGGACAGATAGGGATGTGTCGTCCCCTCTGTCTCACGCCATCAAACACCTACATGATGTATTGTCCCCGCCTCTGTTCCCTCCAGTCGAATTGAAATGTTATTTCACTCTCCGCGGCACGGGCTGCATGGAGACGGATTGATATGCATCCAACATGTGGCACGTAATGAGAAGCGATGACAGAGTGCCTGGACTGTGTGTGCACCTGCCACGTACTGCCGGCCAAGTCGGCGGGACGAGAGACGAAGATGAAGATGAAAAGGGCAAAATTGACTCCCCCCTCACCCTCATCACCCCCTTTCACCCCTTGCTGTGAGGCTGATTTACAAGTTATGGCCCCTTTTCTCTTTCCTTCCCTCGTCGTCAAAAGAAGATTGGACGAAGCCGATTGTCTTAGACGTCGAGCGCCGCACAGCCGATCCATCAGAGTCCACCCTTGTCTTCAGACTCTAACCTCCCCCTGCTCCTCGATTCCTCTCTCAGCTGATGCTCACTGGGATGTAAGGCCGCTATTTCCTCCCTGCCCCCACTTCTCTAACCTTCTCCTCTTTTCATCCCTTTCTTTATCAGCAACTTGTGAATGGCAGCCAATCAGGGGTTAGAGTCGCCTCAGCTTCAGCCTCAGCCTCGGTGACATCCACAGACAGGATTGATGCACTGCGAGGGAGAAAAGAGAGAGAGAGAGAGAGAGGAGGAGAGAGAGAGTGAGAGAGACACAGAGATGGTAGAAAGAAAGTGTAGAGGAGGAAAGGGGAGAGGAGCCAGAGAGCAGGGAGGAGTAACGGAGAGAGAGGGGCATAGAGAGAAGGGAGGGGAGCGAGCGGGAGACGCTCTCTCCTCCACACTCAGTCCCATTTGTAGCAGCTGTGCTGCTGTCAGTCCTGGAATGTAAGCACTGCCGTCAGGAGTCAGACGTTCCGCCGCTAAGCACCACGCAGGAGCACGGCTCTGCACGCTCACCCGCGGATGCTAAGCTGCAGGAACCACAAGGTAAGGGCTTCTATTTTCCTGGTTGGTGTTTTACGGCTGAATCGTATTCTCTCTGCCTCCAGACTCCAGGGGATGATCTGCCCTTTGCACTGTGACAAAGCCAGACTAAAGGCGGCAGTGAGCAAATGTCTCCTGAAAAGAAGTGTGCAACTTCAAAGAAAACAGCATCGTGGTGCGAACAAGTAAATAATTAGATTTCTGCTTCAGTACTCAGGTTTGAACGTGTCTACGGGGAGTGCTTGGTAATGACTTCAACTCCACATAGGAAGGGGATTCGATCAGCTGTTTCTCTGACAAACTCAACTTAAAAATCATTCGTTACATTTACTAAAGGATTATTATTGTTCGGGTTGATTAAACTCACTTCCCTGGCACGTGTAACTTTAAAGTTTTACACTCATGATGCTAAATTGACCTCCTCTCCACCCTGAGCGCCAGAGTCTGCTCACACAGATGCATTTGCATTCATACGGCAGGTGTGTGCACCTGTTTGAAGGCACGTACGACTTCCTTTGAGCGTCTCTGGGAAAAGTGTGTTGTTTTTTCCCGAGGCAGCGAGGGAGAATCATACTTGTGATGTGCTGTGGGCAGATTTGATGGAGGGGCGCTGTACCGTTCATATCTCCCCAAAACGCTTCAAGGTGTTTATCGTGGTGCTCGAGCACGACGAGAGGAGCGGCCAGCGGTGTTGCAGAGCATGTGCATGGGCTCCAAAGCAAACTTAATCCAGCCTTTCCGCCTCTGTCCTCTCTCTCTCTCACTCACACAGACCTCCACAGGCACCCGAGTGATAGATTGTGGTTTAGCGGCATGTAGCGCCGTTATTGTTTAGTGCAAATTAGCCATTAACATGCTCCTTGAATCACTGTCAAATGTGGAGTGACCTTTCAGCGTTAAAATGAAAAGAGGTGGAAATCTGCTCTCCTACGCAGGCAGAGAGGCTCTCATGAGCATCCACGCAGCACGTTTTACAGGATTCGACATGAATATTTATTTGTGGAAGTGAGGAAAATGCTAAACCGGTAGAATTTAATCAGTCAAAGCTGGTTTTAGTTTGCTTGAATTGCATCCCTGTCGTTTTTCTTTTCACTTTTTCCCCTTTACATTTCATTTTATTAGTTTAGGCTCCAAACTCTTTATTAAAACACTAAAAACTCCAAATATAAACTATAGAAAATTAAAGGATTTTTGGTGATACTACGTTTTTATTGTCAACGCGGTCTTTTCAAGAAGACTTCACTCCAGCACTCAACCCCCAGTCGCTTTTCAACGAGGAAGTGTGCACTGTATCATCAAATTGCTTTGAGGGTTTGAAAACATGAGCAGAGCTTGCTGAGGTTTGCCAGGGACTGCAGCCTCGCTGACGGCTGCTGTTGGGAAGGTCTAGGGCTCCACCAAGTGGAGGCTGGGATGGCTGCTGCCTCCTCGGTGCATCACGGCAGCTCCGTCACTCACGAGCAGCAGGCAATCACCGGAGCCACTCAGACTGCCAATCACACAACACGCCTCACGTGTTCGGTTGGTTTTAACCATTTTCCTGCACACAAATCCATCTGATACTCATAAACCAAATGCAAGTACACCTCTAAACTAACCCCAGCTTGATGACCTTGTCACCTCCTTGTAAAGCCTCTTCATGTGGTTTTACTCCTACTTTAAATAAAATCCCAAAGCTGTGGTTTTAAAAATCATGTAGGAGGTTTTGGATGCTTAATTAGGTCTAACGTTTATGTAACTCTGCATCTGTTAGTAAATGTCCAGAAAATGCATTATTCCTTTTATAAATGAATGCATTCGCTGCTTTTATTTCATTATAATGGGTTTCACTGAAAGCCTTTTCTCTCTATTTGATTACTTTTATGAAAACATGGCTTTGATGGGAAATGGAGAGCTTCCCCCCCCCCCTCCTGCAACATAGAGAACCAAATGTTTCAGCTTATGCATTTTCTTAGGCTCTGAAAGAGCCTTACCCAGCAAACCTCTGGAGCATTTTGCAGCTATATTTATTGTCCTTCCAAAGTTAAAGTATCCACAAAAGTGCTTAAGTTGCAAAGACTCGGTTCAGGTTTGTTGGGGAAGCTTGCATGTTCAATTTTTGGAATGCACGTGCGTGAAAATTCATGCAGACCAATGTGCAAGCCTGCGCTTTTCCAGGAAGCACATCCCAACGACCAGCTCGTTTGTATCTGATCAAAGATATTCTTATTCAGCAAAACAAGAATGTATAATTTGCAGATTAAAAGAAATGGAGCACGGTGGAGTCGATGCCAGCCAGAACGTGTATTTGCCAAGATTAGAAGGAAAAAAAAATACACCCTTAAAAGCATATTTAACAATTCAGTCCCTTCACATCCGTGTGTTTTATTGCCAAGGCATATAAGCTGCCTACAAGTTAATCTAATCATAAACAATTTATTTTAATACACCCACTTTTTAATAAGCTGAATAAGTTGAGATAATTCAGCTTGAGCTTATAGGATCTGGCATGGATTCAGCGTGCTCGTTCATCCTTTAATGGAGTGTTTGGAAGAATTCTGCAAAGAAACATTGGCCCTAATGCTTAATACACGCGCCACATCAAAGATTAATATCCAGAATGCTATTAAATCTCAAGGACAGGCTGGAATGATAATTAGAAAATGCAATCACAAGCATCAGACTAGATTAATTGCAAGGAGGCGCTTCCTGATTTCAGCACGTGGAACGCTCTTATGACGCATTTCGTGCAAGAAAATAACTGAAAATAAAGGAAAGCGGAGCCCAAATCAGCAAACCAAACAACCATTTGATGTGTAGTGTTGCACTACCTGAACCAACTGTTGGGTTTAACACCTTTAGTGGTCTGCTTGCATCGATAAACTCGTCATACTTCGATTTAACCCAAATGACAAACACTTTTTGTTTAAAACTCCAGACAAACCAGGATTAAATGACTCGTCTCACCGGAGCATTCCCAGAGGAACACGGCGAATGCTTGTCGGGATAATTCTCTGACTCCAGCCCTTACACGGAAACCTTACTAAATGGGTTCTTTTAGAAAGAAGTGAAAGATTTATTAGGATTAACCTCCAAAAGACCATTAATTATGCATGCACAGCCAAATTACCTATCAGGGCCGGTCGAGGTGAGGACGCAGCCTTAGCGAGGCATTGGAAGAAGAGTGCCAATAACATGAAAAAGCTCATCAGAGGCATAAAAAATACCTGGGGATTATTTTGGGCAATTCCCAACACACTTGTGTAGATTTACATCCTTTTGAAAGCATCACAGCGTCTAAAGGGGGTGAAAATCAGTGAGTGTACCCATCAGTTATGATGCAAAAATGTACAGAAGCTAAAAGCTGAGGTGGAGAGAGAGGGGAAAAATAGACTCCCCCCTTTCAGCAACACAATCTGTTTAGTGGAGGTTGTTCTGAAGGTGCAACGCTGTGACTGAACGGGTGTGAAGCATGTAAAAAAATAAAAAATCCGTCTGGGTGGCGTCTTTTCACCGCGCCGGACGCCCGCGTTAAGCCTTTCAAACCGAGGCTTTGAGGCAAATCCTAATGCGGCTAATAATTAGTGAAGTGCTGCTCACTCTTATTATTCACACATAATGAACTCGAATTATCGGCCTGGAAAAAGTGGACACTTGCAAATAGATCCTAGGTAGGATGAGAAAAACAAGCTGAAAATAAATGTGATTTTCATGAGACGTCGGCGAGCATGAGAAAAGCACAAAGAAGGAACTCATTTAATTCTGTTTTTGCTTTATTGTTCACAACTTTTTATCAACACTTTGAATCAAATTCTTTAGATCATTTTTGCCAAAAAACAGAACGACTCAAGCTTTTTGAAGGAACTTGAAAGGCACCTTTTTATTTTACCTAATTTTTAGTCTACCTCGAGGTGTTTTCTGGACATGTACATGGAGAGGCAGTGGTAACAGCAGAAAATGTACAGTTTATATCAAAAATAGTTATTCCAACATACAAACAGCTTCATAAACGGCAGCGTTGACCTTTACCAATAAGACAAAAGCACCAAGCTGCAACTCGACCAAACTTGTTAAGCGATTGTGGAAACAAGCATTAATTCTTCCCTTCTAGTCGTTCAAGAGCTTGTTAGAAACATGGTCGAATGGAAAGTGGTCATCAGACCAATCTAAAGCATGAAGAACTAATCTGAAGTCCTTTATAATCCCAGAGTTTAGGTTGTTTGACATTCTGTCTGCAGGAAGGAGGTTGCTTGGTTCAGAACTCTGTTGGGCGGGGTCCATTATGTGTTTCTGCTCTCATCTACAGAAGAGAGGCTGCTTGTTTACGATCCAACATTGTTTATAGTAATTTTGTCTTATAGTCTGTGTTTTTTTATAATGACTGCTTTACAGAAGGTTACTGAAATGCCACTATGTTGGTGTTAACTATACTTTCCTCTCCTTACAGGAATCCAAACGGACCTTTAAGTAAAGGAATACAATGCTTGTTCTGATGAGGCTACCTTCCAGTGCTTATCCTCTCAGAAGCTTATTTCCATAATTCAAAAGTCATTCCGGACGTCTCCCGACTGATTGGATACCATGATAAGCAATCAGGCTCTGCTCCTTCTGATGCTCTCCAACCTGTGGCCGACTATGGCCCTTCCTTTCACGCCTGGGAATATTGGGAATCTGTTTGGAATGCCAGAGAGTGACGGGAGGATTCTCCAGCGTTCCAAACGGGGATGGATGTGGAATCAATTCTTTCTGCTTGAGGAATACACCGGAAATGACCATCAATACGTCGGCAAGGTAAGGTGTCCAAATGCATTGTCTGTAGACTAATTATAGAAGGTTTAGCTTGTAGAGGCGGTGTTTGATGTAATTGGGTGGAAACGGATGGGCTGCCAGAAATCTGGCGGTTACGGGCAGATTTAACTGGAGCAATCAGATCCGCATGACTGCCTACAAATGCTCTCTCTTCCTGCCTCCAGAGCCCTCTTAATCCATAGTGAAAGTCTACAGTTATGTCTAAAAATCAAAGGACCATTGATTACTTACAAAGCAGACGCCACTATCGTTGAACACTAAAGAACACCGTCCGACTTTTATCAGTGAATATTAAAGTCATTCCTGTCAGACAAATGCAGTGATCATTGCTCAAGTAACAGCAAGGAAAAGAAGCAATGAGCCGAAGAATTCATTTGGTTCTCTTTTTTTACAGAAGCAGATAAATCCAAGAGTCGTTCTCACAGAACGGCCTGAATGAGAAAGCGTGATGTTGTTCTGTTAAAACTAATATAAAACTTCCTAAATGTTTTCTAAAAGATCTGATTAAACACCCAGAAAAAATAAATAAATCACACAAAACAGAGCCCTTCGAAAAACGGAAACAGTATTAGGTCAAGGTCAGGTTCAGGATCAACTTTTAAAATCTCTGTTTCTGCAAAACGTGTGACCAAATGTGGGATATTTCTGATCTGAGACAAAAAAATAAAATAAAACTACCAGAAAAAACAGCATCCTCACACCAACAGGCACAAAGATGCTTTTGCAACAAGTTGTAAATAGCACCGGGTCATGTAGGCCGTATATGTAACTGATGCTTTTGCCACTCTTGTACAATCCTTCTCATCATAGATTAGTCCCGAAACACCTTAAAGCTGTTGTCCATATCACAAGATCATCAAAGTATACATTCTGGACAGAGAAGAGGGACGGTTTGAGGGAGGAGTAATGTAAGCCACCTACGTCAAATGGCAAAACCCTATATAAACAGAGGAGACCTCAGGCAACTACAATGCAGCTTTAGACCCAATCCCAAAAGAGTGTGACTCCAGATCACATCCTCCTTATTCTGATCAAACCAACCATTCCACACAATAGAGCCTAACGACACCAACGACTCCTCAGAGGGTATGGAGGAGGGTATTCATAGGTAGTTTTGAACTGACAAAGGTCTTCGGATGAGAAGCTAAACATCTTGAAGAAACCAAAGAAGTCCAGCTGTCTTCATTCAATCACCTTTGGGTCATCAAGGAATGAGGAGATTTTAAAACGTGAACAGCTATAGCTCTGCCCGTGATTCCTCTCGCCTCGTGGAAGGAGCTAGGAGCCACGCCTCATACTGCGCATGGAGAGGAAAAGCAGAGTCAACAGTACAAGCTAACGCTATAGTTTGATGTAGCGCAAGGTTGAACACCTCACCAATCACCCTTTAGATAGAGTTAAAGTTCACAGGCTGACATTTGCCGTTTCTCGGTACTCAATCGCGCTAGTACACTCTTGTGTACTTGCCAAGTATGCTCTTGGCAAGTACAGCAGAAAGTCCATTCTACTGACTGTGGGTGGATGAGGAGGTCATTTAGTACGGAACCGTATTCTATTGTAGCAAAAAGTTCTGCTTGTTTCTACGGTCAAAAATGACATAAAGTGCGTCCTTCAAATAACAGAAAATGACAACAAATTATTCATATATTATTTGGCCCAGTTTGGATCTAAATTGATAATACCAACACCTCCTGCTATTGGAATAATTTGTATTCATGTACTTAATCTAAATAGAGCTATTTAAAGCAACACTGTTATTTGGTGGTGGGTTTGCTAATTAGCATTTTGTGAAGAGTCTGGAAAAAAAACTACAAACAGGACATTTTACAGGTTATACGCAAATACACACAACAACAGACAACTTTATATTTCTTTATTTGTTTCTCTGATATAAAAAAATGCACTACAGCTATAAGCTTTCTTCTCTGATGTCTGGAGTATAATGGCTTTCTACACAATGCATTATGGGATACTTTTCTGTCCCAAGTTCGCAGAAGGATGCATTGATGCATCCTCAATACAATGGGCAAAGCAAGAACACGTCGGGGAACTTTGAGTGAACTTACCATCAGACGAACTTAAGATTGGAACAATACCTGGGCCATTGTTGGTGATGTTTCACCAACACATTCTCACACCCAAGGTGTCAAAATATGACGCATGTGACCAAGCCTCAATATATGATGATCCAGGATGCCCCAGCGCGTCAGGATACGACGATTAGAAACACGTTGGGTCACGTGGCTCCGCTGTTTGACGCACACGGTCACACGGACATTATTCGACTATTTAACCTTCCCCTCACCCCAATCCTAACCTTAAGGTCCATAAACTGTGACCTTAAGGTTAGGAATGGGGTGAGGGGGAGGCTGAGTAGTTCACAAGTAGTTCCAATGTCCATCTCAGCACCAGCATCAGATACCGATGCTCTGGGACGCTGTGTCAGCTGTTTGTCCCTGATCGTCGTCTCCTGACGCGCTGGGGCGTCCCAAATCATCATATATTGAGGCTTGGTCATACGCATCATATTTTGACCCCTTGGGTGTGGGAATGTGTTGGTTTCACAAGGAGGTGAGACAACAATTTCAGACAAATAAGCACATTCAGAAACGGCCATCATTTTATGCAGGTTGAGTTAGCATTCAAGCTAGTGCTATTTTAACCTTTTAGCGAAGAACGCAGCAAACAACAACTATCTGCGCTATTTATTTTAATTTTTAAAAATTGGTTATAATTCTTTAGAATACAATAAATTATTTAGTGTGTAATAGTCCAAAAGAAACATTGCCAAGTCTTCTGAGACTTAGTAGATCCCGGAGTTCCCTCCAGCTTTTAAAAGCGTCTCCAATGTAAATTTACTTTACTGTCGTAAACATCACACGGTGAGTTTTGCAGTAAAACATATTTAAATATTCTTTAAGAAGTAGACAACAGTAGAGGAACTGATAACTTCAGTACTTGATTTGGTTGTTCTATAGGCATTCTAAAGCCGGGCGGACACTGTGCGACTTTTTCACTCGTAGCACTCAGCTTCAGCTCAAACTGTACGACTTCCTCGGAAGGCAGATCTCACGAGTCATGTGCTCACACTATACGACCCAGTTCTCGGATGCGACCTGACTGCTCACGGTACACGTCGGACCCAAAAAATATGCTAAAAATAGAAGTTTTTACACAACACGTCAGACTTTTTTGTCTTGTTTTGCCTGTTGTCTTTGGGGAGTGCTGCAGGAGGATACACAGGGATTTATGGGGGTTGGATGAGGAAAACGAAATAAAGAAAGTAAATCTGTGTTTTGTGATCCGTTTAATTGGACATGAACACGACAAACATGCTTTCTTGACAATCCTTGTCATTGTGAGTAAAAAAATGTGTAGAAATAAAAACGAACAACGTATGTTATTAGGGAAATAGCGGGCGAGCGGTGTTGATGAAGGATTATGCATGCACAGTGAGCGGTTCTGGTACTTTTTGGGTCGTAGCCGTTCGCTGCGCCACTTCAACAGTGTGATACCCTCACGAGGAATGAGCAAAATATCAAACACTCCAGAAGTCCGTGCGAGCTCACGATTGCTGATTGGTAGCTGGTCACATGGTGCTAATCGCCTCTCGTAACCCCCTGTACACTACACGACGCTCAGCGCTAAACTTGCCCCGATCTCGTGGATTCTCGCACGAGTGGAAAATCGGCTCAAAAAAGTGAAAAAGTCGTTCAGTGTATGCCCGGCTTAAGACACGCCCATCTACTTCTGGGCCATGGGTCACCTGGAGGAATGAAAAAATGAATGCAAGTCAGTGAGCCTAAAAGCTATTTTCTAATCCTGCTTACCATGGATCTCACATATGATGTCTGTGAATCTGAATCACATTCTGATGCAAATAAAGTTCCTAATTTCTAGCAATGGCAAAAGTTATTTCAGGTTTTGTGGAAAAATATGTCAATGAATCCAAATGTGCATCACCAAATTGACATCATTAAACCCAAAAAATGTTTAAGTTCTGCGAGCTTTGACTCCTTCATCCAGGAGGAAAGAGCCACCGTAACTCTGGCCATGTGGGAAGTAGCAGCTATGCTAGGGGAGAGCATATTTATATATGCAACGTTCGGACATCTGACCTGTAGTCATAGTAACCAATTTTTACAAGCTGATAAAACTGAAAGACCACTGGTGATGTTGAAACACACACTATTACTTTTCATTTAAATTGAATTGTAACATTTGTGTGATCCAGGGCCTAGGGCAAAGCGGATTAGAAAATAACTCTTAGCCCCGTTGACTTCCATTAATTTCTCCATTTTTCCAGCGACCCATGAGCCAACAGGAAAGGGAGGAGTTTTAGGCTCCCTATTGCAACTTCTTTGTTGGTGTGCTAAGCTGACTGCAGCACATTCTCATCGATTGACAGCTCCCTCTTGTGGAAACATAAATCCATTGGTTAACTCTCTGTAAATTATTTGTTTTGTTGTACGGACCAGGGGAGGGACCTATCATAGAACAGGGTCAGCCAGTCGTAGTTAAGCATTTTTAAGCTACTTTAAACACGTTAAACTACATACCCCAGTCCAGTCCGACCTTGTCCAAATTTGCAAGAAATCCAAGACAAATTTGGACAAAGAGAAATGTAAATCTAAGAGATGATTAGGTCAAGATGGCTGGTGGACATCTGGAACCGTTCAAGAGAACATTTTTCATTCAAATTGTTTAAAAATCCACAACAACAGGTTCCTGTGAGTTGCAAAGGACCTCCCTTTAATGTATGCTGTAATCAATGGATTTGGCCTTGAGACTCACATGCGTTGTGACTTTTGGTGGCTATTTATAGGCACACAAATTGAAGAAAGTATGCACACTTTTATTTGAACAGAGATGGGAAATTGTGGCCTCAACAAGTCATCTCCATGTGGTGTTTTTGTTCTGCTCAGCAACTGAACCAGGTTAATTCACTGTGCTGATTAAAATCACCTGGTTTCGTGGCTGAG